TGGAGAGCTTGAACTGACAACCCCTAGGAAAGTAAAAAAACACATCTTCAAGCTTTATTGAAAGCAAATGAGGGGCTCTATGTGATAGATCTCACGGTAGAGATATTTTCCCCAGATTTCTCGTGAATGGCCTTTCATGCTCCGCTGGGAAGCTTCCTACTTCCATAACTTTTATTGCGTAGTGTCCTTTCTGCTAATGGATCTGTTAATATCCAATTGATGATGGATTAAAATTTACGAACTTCTTCGCAGTTGTGTTTTACAATAAAGTATGGTTTAAGTGATTCGGTCTCTTTGATTTGCATGTCATCGCTGAAGAGTTCAAAATTGAGAGATGATGGTTCATCCCAGCGTGCTTCCTTCATTGCTTCACCGATCACTATATCCGTCACTCCGCTCCCCTGTAATATAGTCTGATTTTTTTGTTGTCAAATTCAAATTAGCACTTTTCTTACTTCTATCAGGAAAACTAGAGCACTGAACCGATGGCTAAGTTTGATTGAACAATGCAGTTGAAACTGTGCTCCAATTACAGCGGCACTAGAAAATTCCAGAATCGCGGCGAACTGAAAATTGAGAATAAGTAGCTAAAAGTTTCACTCTAACTCCAGAAAGTCGAGATTTGACATACCATTAGCAAGAAGATTTTCCAGGACATCATTTCTCGTAGTGAAACGTTGAATTGCTCTGCTTGCTTGACCTGCTGGGAATGCTTCCGAAGAATAAATGAACAACCTCGAACACATGAAATGATATCATTCAACAATCAACACGTTTATTTTCAATCTGGCTATCTTCCTTCTATACCGGGCGGGGGCGACCTTGCATGCTGCGCCTTCGATGATTGTTTCTACGTTCATCATAGTTCCACGAAAATGGCCGCACATGAAAATTACTGGTCTCCTTTCAAGGAACCAAGCCAAGGATTTGGCGCTAACTCATTTATCGCAGTATGGTCAAGGCAGTTAACAATGGTCACTGATTTTCTCAAAACGGATGAAGTACAGTAATCTCACACGCGACGAAACGCTGCATGGTGCCTTGCAGTTACAGTCGAGTCATTTCATATGATCATGTGTGTTATTACACACACCGTCCACCTTTGGCGTCCTCATCCTGGAT